GTTAGATTTCTTGCTGTGTTTTGGCTGAAAATGGGTCTAGGAACTCATTTGGTTGCTTAAGATTGATGGTTCTTGGCTAATTTGGTGAAAATGGAGTTGTTTTGGGGGTCTTTGGGGGTTTTGAGAAAAATTTTGGTTTTCTTTGATTTGTGGATGCATGTGTAAAAAGGTGGTACTTTTGAGGTATTTGATGAAAATGTTGCACTTTGGTTGGATTGCATGTGCTGGAAAAGTGGGTTTTTGCAGGTTTTGGGCAAATTTTCGTACTTGGTGAAGTTGCTGCTGAGCTTTGCGCTGAGCGCCGTTCTTCGCGCCGGGCGCGCGACCACCAGGGGACTCCATTTGGTCAATCCCGCCGGGCGCAATGATGAGTGCGCCGGGCGCGTTTGAGAATGTGGGTCTCTGGCTGGCCCGCGCTGGGCGTGACTTGGACTGCGCTGGGCGCGATACCTGTTATAGCATGATTTGGGGTTTTTGGTTATGCACTGAGCGCAACCCTAGTCGCGCTGGGCATGAGACTCCTTGGGAGTCTCTGCCTTAAGGGCGCTGGGCGCAATTTGAATTGCGCTGGGCGTGAAACCTTGGGAGGTCTCTGTCTTCCCCGTGCTGGGCACGAGTTTGGGCACGCCGGGCGCGTGAGACTCCTTAGAGTCTCTGCCTGGCATGTGTTGGGCGCAATTTGTATTGTGCCAGACGTGTGTGAGCTTTGGGCTCTCTGGATGGGTCCTGCCGGGCGCGGGCATGCTTGCGCTGGGCGCGTTGGCCCCCTGGTGCTCTCTGGTTGTACTGCGCTGGGCACAACCACGAGTGCGCCGGACGCGGAGATGAGATTTCACTGTATGCTGTTAGAAGTTGTTTTATGCTGAGTATAAGCCGAAATTGATGAATATGATGTGCTGACTAGTAGATAATGTTGTCTGATGATGTTTAGCTGTGTTAGATGTTATTGCTGTAAGTTGTGATGTGTTATGTGCTGATAAGATGAGCTGTGTTGTATGTTGTTAAGCTGTAGTATGTTGAAATGCTGATATAAATTGTTGTAGGCCGTAAGCCTGAGCTATTGTAGGCCGTAAGGCTGAGATGTTGTAGGAGATCTCCGAGCTGATATGCGTGACGACGCATTGTGTGCTTATTGCTGTCTATGCTGTATAGCTGATGAGATGTATGCTGATGTTGTGCTGATAATTGTAGCTGTTCATATTATATATATGCTTTGTATGTTGATTCTTTTCACTAGCTTACCCTTTGTTGTTTCCATGTGTTTGGACTGCAATGATCATACGTTGTATGGGAGCTGTAACGACCCAGCTGGTCACTACACACGGCACGGCACACTGGAAACACCAGGCAGATAGAACAAGTATATAATATAGGATCTAGAATATATGTATATACCAGGTCCTAATCTAACTAGAATTAGAGTGTACAACAAAATACATCAAAGCTACTACACCCTGTAGCTAAACAACAAAACATCTAAATAGATCAGCTCCGTCTGCCAGCTACAGACCTACCGCCAGCCACCAACCTATCCCTGCTCTGCTCCCATACATAGTATGATCATTGCAGTCCAAACATCATGGAGACAACAAAGGGTAAGCTAGTGTAAGGAAATCAACATACATATATAATATATGAACAATAAACAGCTACTGCTATCAGCACACCCGCACAGCCTATACTACACCACAACAAAATCAGCAATATCAGCATCGCTCAGCGGCTATAACAGCACCATAATAGTGGCTAACAGCACCGACATAACGGCTATAACAACACCACAATAGTGGCTAACAGCACCGACATAGCGGCTATAACAGCACCACAATAGTGGCTAACAGCACCGACATAGCGGCTATAACAGCACCACAATAGTGGCTAACAGCACCGACATAGCGGCTATAACAGCATACAGCACAACACAGCATATCAGCATACAATACAGCTAAGTAGTATTCAACACAGCTTACTACTCACATCCCAGCTCATCATTCTAGAGCACAGCAATATCATATTATAACATTTAAACTTATCAATAACAGCCAGCTCAGCACAGCATTATACATCTATCAACAGCTTATCATCATAATCAACATAAAACAGCCTCTCTCAGCAAATTCAGCAAGGTTATACAACTAATATAACATCAAAATGACATTCTCATATGCGCCCGGCACACCCATGTCTGCGCCCGGCGTGGCACATCCAGAGGGTACCAGGGACCAGCACGTTCGGCACAATACCTATTGCGCCCGGCGTAAGGGAAGGCAGAGACCTCACAAGGTCTCACACGCCCGGCGTACGAACCCGTGCTCGGCACAGGGTAAGCAGAGACTTTCTCCCAAAGTCTCACACCCGGCGCAATATACATTGCGCCCAGCGCCACCTCTAGCAGAGACTCCCATGGAGCCTCTACGCCCGGCGAGAAAAGCCAAGCCCGGCGCCACACCAGAACCTCAAAACAAGAGTCATCCACTGATATCGCGCCCAGCGCTATTCCACCACGCCCGGCGTGGGCCATCCAGAGCCTCACATCCTCAATCTCGCCCGGCGCATTCACCATTGTGCCCGGCGTGATTGCCTAAATGGAGTCTCTGATGGTCACGCGCCCGGCACGAAGAACTACGCCCTGCGTGATACCCAGCAGTAACCTTCAAACTTTCAAAAATCTCATCAAAACCTGTAAAATAACCAGGAAAACCCACATGCGAAGTAGTACACTTTCAACATAGAGTTCAAAAATACTATCTTTTCATCCATGCATGCAACAATCAAGAAAAACCCAACTTCTCCAAAAACCCAAAAACCTCCAAAAGTTCATTTTTCAGCAATCTCAACCAAAGAATCATCCATCATCAATTAGCAAATGAGTATCTAAGACTCATTCCCAACCAAAACAGCAAAGTAACTAGCTTCCCTTACCTCGGTTCAACGGTTCCAAGTTTCGGGGAGAAGAGAGTGATGAAGAAGAAGAAGAAGAAGAAAAGCCTCGGAGCGGAAAGGAGAAGAACCAGCTCGAGGATTCAGTCTACACTCCACTTGCACCTTCAATTGCCAAGAATCACCACACGAAAATGGAGGGGAAAAGAGAAGTGAGTGATTTTAGAGTAAAAGAGAGTTAGAGTAAGTGAAGGAAGAAAAGAGGGGAAAGGGTTTTACAACCTCCCCAACAACAAGAGTTTTCGTCCCCGAAAACCGACTTACTTGGGAAAAGAAATGGATACCGCTCCCTGCACTGCTGCTCCACCTCCCAAGTAGCCTCACCAGTAGCTGCATCCCACAACACCTTTACCAGAGCAATGGACTTGCCCCTAAGCTCCTTCAGCTTATGATCGACCACAACTACTGGCAACTTCTCAAAAGTAAGGTTCTCCTTCACCTGCACATCATCTAGTTCCACCACATGACTCGGGTCATGCACATACTTCCTCAGCTGGGACACATGAAATACATCGTGTAGGTTTGAGAGAGACGGTGGCAAAGCTAACCGATAAGCAACCGGACCCACACGCTGTATTATCTGATAGGGACCAACAAACCTCGGTGTCAACTTCCGAGCCTTCAGCGCTCTACCCACACCAGAAGTCGAAGTCACCTTCAGAAACACATGCTCCCCTTCAGCAAACTCCAAAGGCTTACGCCTTTTGTCAGCATATGATTTTTGTCTACTCTGAGCAGTCCTCATCTTCTCCTGAATCATCTTCACCTTCTCAGTAGTCTATAGGATCAACTCCGGTCCCACAACCACTGACTCACCATCCTGATACCAGCATAGAGGAGTCCTACACCTCCTGCCATACAAGGCTTCAAACGGCGCCATCCTGATACTAGCATGAAAGCTATTATTGTAAGTAAACTCCACCAGCGGTAGGACCTCCTCCCAGCTACCCAAGTGGTCTAACACACAAGCCCTCAGCAGATCCTCCAAGGACTGGATTGTCCTCTCTGACTGACCATCCGTCTGCGGATGATAAGCAGAACTCAGCTTCAGCTTCGTGCCTAGAGCTTGGTGTAGACTCTGCCAAAATCTAGAAGTGAACCTTGGATCCCGGTCAGAAATAATACTGGAAGGCACCCCGTGCAACCGTACTATCTCCCTCACATACAACTGGGTCAGCTTTTCCAAGGACCACTTGATGTTGACAGGCAAGAAATGTGCACACTTGGTCAACCGATCAACAATCACCCAGATAGCATCACTATTCCTAGCTGACCTAGGCAATCCAACAACAAAATCCATAGTGATACTATCTCACTTCCATTCCAGAATCTCCATCTGCTGCATCAATCCACTCGGCTTCTGATGCTCAACTTTTGCCTTCTGACAAGGCAGACAGGCCGCCACATACTCGGCTATCTCCCTCTTCATACCATACCACCAGAAAGTCTTCCTGAGGTCTTGGTACATCTTAGTCATACCCGAATGTATGCTAAGTCTGCTCTTGTGGCCCTCCTCCATTACAGCTCTCCTCAGCTCAGCATCTTGGGGTAGGCAAATTCTGCCCTTGAACCTCAAGATTCCATCTTCTCCCAGCTCAAAACCAACAGCTCTCTCGGTACCCAGCAAACTAAGAAGTCTCACCAACTCCACATCCTGCAACTGCTTGAGTCCAACCTGCCTCAAGAACTCATTGGTTATGGTAATTGTCCCACAACTAATGTGATCCTGAGCTAACTCCACACAGAGATTCAAATCCCTAAACTCCTCAACTAGCTCCAGTTCCCTCACCATCATACTAGACATGTGGATGGATTTCCTACTCAGCGCATCTGCCACAACATTGGCCTTACCAGGATGATACATCAACTGGAAATCATAATCCTTCAGAAATTCCATCAACCGCCCCTGCCTCATGTTCAACTCCTTCTGATCAAACAAGTACTTTAGACTCTTGTGATCACTGAAGACACTGAACCGAGCACCATACAAATAATGCCTCCATATCTTCATGGCAAACACAACCGCTGCCAACTCCAAGTCATGAGTGGGATAATTCCTCTCATGATTCTTCAGCTGTCTTGAGGCATATGCCACCACTCTCCTGTTTTACATTAGCATGCACCCCAGATCCTGGTGAGAAGCATCACAGTACACATCAAAAGGTTCACCAGAATCCGGTAACACCAGCACAGGAGAAGTAGTCAACCTTCTCTTTAGCTCATCAAAACTCCGCTCACTGGCATCAGTCCATATGAACGGCTGCTCCTTCCTCGTCAACTAGGTTAAAGGCGCCACTATCTTGGAGAATCCCTCAATGAACCTCCTATAGTAACCCGCCAAACCCACAAAACTTCTGATATCCGTGACAGTTCTTGGACGTTCCCATTGCAACACCGACTCCACCTTAGTCGAATCAACAGCAATTCCCTCAGCTGAAATCACATGCCCCAAGAACTTCACCTCACTCAACCAAAACTCACATTTTGAAAGCTTAGCGTACAGCTGCCTCGCCTTCAAAATCTCCAACACTACCCTCAAGTGTTCTCCATGCTCCTCCCGGGTCCTTGAATAAATTAGAATGTCATCAATAAACACCACCACGAATTTATCCAAGAATGGCCAGAAGATCCTGTTCATGTACTCCATGAACATTGTAGGGGCGTTGGTCACACCAAACAGCATCACAACATATTCATAGTGACCATACCTAGTCCTGAAAGCAGTCTTCGGTATGTCACCCTCCTTCACCCTAATCTGGTGATAGCCTGACCTCAAGTCAATCTTCGAGAAAATGGATGCTCCCCTCAGTTGATCCATCAAGTCATCTATCCGGGGAAGTGGATATTTGTTCTTGATGGTCAACTTGTTCAACTTCCGGTAATCCACACAAAGTCGACTACCATCATCCTTCTTTTTCACCAACAAGATAGGAGCACCCCAGGGCGATACACTCGGCCGCACCAACTGCTTTTCCAACAGGTCTTCCAACTGACCCTTCAGCTCAACCAACTCGGCAGGAGCCATCCTATAGGGAGCCACCGACACTGGCCCGGCACCCGGAACCAAGTCAATGCTAAACTCCATCTCCCTAATAGGAGGCAACCTAGGCACCTCATCAGGGAACACCTCAGCAAAATCCCTTACCACATCAATTTCATAAATGACCCGCTCGGTCTCAACACTCAACGCAGCAAGCAGAAGACAACATTCTGCCCCATCTCTCAGTAATGACTCAGCTTGGCCAGCTGAAATCAACAGCTCCTCCTCCACCTGAGGAAAAATTAGCCTCCTATTGGCACAATCTATAAGCATACAATTGGCAGACAATCAATTCATCCCTAAGATTATGTCAGTATCCACTAAAGGTAAACAGATCAAGTTCACCTTATACCGCCTCTCATTCACAACGATTGGACAGTCAGCACACAACTCAGAAGTAACTACCGAAGCAGAAGCGGGCGTCGACACTAGCAGTCTCAACCCCAAATCACACACAGGTATACCCAGCCTAGCAGCACATGCATAAGATATAAAGGAGTGAGATGCACCAGAATCAAAAAGAATCATCACATCCTTACCAGAAGCTCTACCCTTCCCCTTCACAAGATTTGAGGAAGTAGAAGCTTCAGCCCCAGTCAAGGCAAATACCCTCCCAGCTGTAGTGGGTCTGTCACCCCTCTGAGTATCGCCTCTCTGGGCACCACTCCTCCGAGCATCACCTCCCTCTGGAATACCTCTAGTAGGACAGTTGGCCAACTCGTGGCCCATCTGGTGGCATCTAAAACAATGGCTCTCAGTGTGCGGGCAATCCCTAATCATGTGGGGCCCAACACACCTATAACATCTCAGAGTGGCACCTCCACCCTGTCTCCCTCCACCAGCAGCACCAGAAGGTTGCCTGATGACAGGACCCCCTTGTTGTTGTTGGGGCCTATCATACGACTTCCTTTGGTTCCCTCCTTTCTTGGACCCAGCTAGCCCCTCAGAAATCTTCACAGCACGGTTACCACCTTCCAACCGTTCAACCTCCTTCGCCTTCACCACTAAGGCTGGAAACTCCGTGATGGCCATAGGCACCACCACCCGCTTCAGATCATACTTCAGACCCTCTGCAAACTTCCGACATTTCCAAGCCTCAGCTATGCCTTGCGAATAAAAATGAGCTAAGTTCTTGAATTTCATCGCGTATTTAAAAACAATTATCCCTCCTTGGTGTAACCGCATGAACTCAGCTTCTTTGGCATGCCTCACACTCTCAAGGAAATACTTCTCCAGGAACATCCTTTTGAAGCATTCTCAGTCAACAACCACCCCTCTGGCGGTTAGCATGTGATGAGTACCTCTCCACCAATGCTCTGCCTCCCCAACCAGCATATATACAGCATATGCCAACCTTCGCTCTTGTGAACAGCCAAGCACAGTAAAAATCTTCTCAAGCTCGCAAATCCAGTGGTCGGCCACCTCTGGATCTGCATCCCCTTTGAATTGCGGAGGATGGCACTTCCGGAACTCGGCAAGGTCTCGGCTCTCCTGTGACCCAGAGGGCCTTGCTGCACCAGCCGCAGCTCTATCCGCCTCTGCCCTAGCAAAATAGGCATTCTGTTGCTGCATAGTCATGGCCATCATCTCCATGGCCCGGGCTATCTGTTCGTTGGCTCTAGACATTGTCTACAAAAGTAACAGCATCTTTAGTACACAATAACTATACCAAACAGCAATCAGTAGCACAACAACATCACATCAATCAGCACAGTAATTAACACAGCAAAACAACACAACACAGAGTTCAGCACAACAAAAGCCTAAAGGAACCACCCCCACAGAGTGTCCACTAGACTCGAACTGCTCTGATACCACTAAAGTGTAACGACCCAGCTGGTCACTACACATGGCACGACACACTGGAAACACCAGGCAGATAGAACAAGTATATAATATAGGATCTAGAATATATGTATATACAAGGTCCTAATCTGACTAGAATTAGAGTGTACAACAAAATACATCAAAGCTACTACACCCTGTAGCTAAACAATGGAACATCTAAATAGATCAGCTCTGTCTGCCAGCTACAGACCTACCGCCAGCCACCAACCTATCCCTGCTCTGCTCCCATACATAGTATGATCATTGCAGTCCAAACATCATGGAGACAACAAAGGGTAAGCTAGTGTAAGGAAAACAACATACAAAAAAAATATATGAACAATAACCAGCTACTGCTAACAGCCCCCCCGCACAGCCTATACTACACCACAGCAAAATCAGCAATATCAGCAATATCAGCACTGCATAGCGGCTATAACAGCACCACAATAGTAGCTAACAGCACCGACACAGCGGCTATAACAAAACCACAATAGGGGCTAACAGCACCGACATAGCGGCTATAACAACACCACAATAGTGGCTAACAACACCGACATAGCGTCTATAACAGCATACAACACAGCACAGCATATCAGCATACAATACAGCTAAGTAGTATTCAACACAGCTTACTACTCACATCCCAGCTCATCATTCTAGAGCACAGCAATATCATATTACAACATTTAAACTTATCAATAACAGCCAGCTCAGCACAACATTATACATCTATCAACAGCTTATCATCATAATCAGCATAAAACAGCCTCTCTCAGCAAATTCAGCAAGGTTATACAACTAATATAACATCAAAATGACATTCTCATATGCGCCCGGCGCACCCATGTCTGTGCTCGGCGTGGCACATCCAGAGGGTACCAGGGACCAGCACGCCCGGTGCAATACCTATTGCGCCCGGCGTGAGGGAAGGTAGAGACCTCACAAGGTCTCACACGCCCGGCGTACGAACCCGCGCTCGGCGCAGGGTAAGCAGAGACTTTCCCCCAAAGTCTCATGCCCGGCGCAATATACATTGCGCCCGATGCCACCTCTGGCAGAGACTCCCATGGAGCCTCTACGCCCGGCGAGAAAAGCCAAGCCCGGCGCCACACCAGAACCTCAAAACTTGAGTCATCCACTGATATCGCGCCCAGCGCTATTCCACCACGCCCGGCGTGGGCCATCCAGAGACTCACATCGTCAATCTCGCCCGGCGCATTCACCATTGCGCCCGGCGTGATTGCCTAAATGGAGTCTCTGATGGTCACGCGCTCGGCGCGAAGAACTACGCCCGGCGTGATACCCAGCAGTAACCTTCAAACTTTCGAAAATCTCATCAAAACCTGCAAAATAACCAGGAAAACCCACATGCAATCGGCCCGAAGTAGTACATTTTCAGCATAGAGTTCAAAAATACTATCTTTTCGTCCATGCATGCAACAATCAAGAAAAACCCAATTTCTCAAAAAACCCAAAAACCTCCAAAAGTTCATTTTTCAGCAATCTCAACCAAAGAATCATCCATCATCAATTAGCAAATGAGTATCTAAGACTCATTCCCAACCAAAACAGCAAAGTAACTAGCTTCCCTTACCTCGGTTCAATGGTTCCAAGTTTCGGGGAGAAGAGAGTGATGAAGAAGAAGAAGAAGAAAAGCCTCGGAGCGGAAAGGAGAAGAACCGGCTCGAGGATTCAGTCTACACTCCACTTGCACCTTCAATTGCCAAGAATCATCACACAAAAATGGAGGGGAAAAGAGAAGTGAGTGATTTTAGAGTAAAAGAGAGTTAGAGTAAGTGAAGGAAGAAAAGAGGGGAAAGGGTTTTACAAGAGCAGAGCAGGGTTAGGTTGGTGATAGTGGCAGGTCTGCAGCTGGCAGATAGAGGAGTTTTATTTTGTTGTTGTTTTGTTGTTTTGGGCCATTATTCTGGCTACTTTGGGCTGTATTTATACTTTGATGTTTAGCTCAGATTGGACCTCGTGTATATAATTATATACTTGCTCTTATTTTTGTGTTTGTCGTGTTGTCAGATGGTGTGTAGTGACCAACTGGGTCGTTACACTTTAGTGGTATCAGAGCAGTTCGAGTCTAATGGACACTCTATGGGGGTGGTTCCTTTAGGCTTTTGTTGTGCTGAACTCTGTGCTGTGCTGATTTCTTGTTGTTTGTTGTGCTATTGATTTTTGATTGGTTTAGTTATTGTATACTGAAGGTGTTATTACTTTTGTAGACAATGACTAGAACCAATGAGCAGATAGACCGTGCCATGGAGATGATGGCTATGGCTATGCAACAGCAAAATGCCTATTTTGCTCGGATGGATGCTGATAGAGCTGGAGCTGGTGCAGCAAGGCCTGCTGGGTCACAGGAGAGCCGGGATCTTGCAGAGTTCCGGAAATGCCATCCTCCACAATTTAAGGGAGATGCAGATCTGGAGGTAGCTGACCACTAGATCTGTGAGCTGGAGAAGATCTTTGCTATTTTAGGATGTTCTCAGGAGAGGAGGCAGGCATACGCTGTTTATATGCTTGTTGGAGAGGCTGAGCATTGGTGGAGGGGTACTCACCACATGCTTACTGCTAGAGGAGTTACAGTTGACTGGGAGTGCTTCAGGGCAGTGTTCTTGGAGAAGTACTTCCCGCAGAGTGTGAGGCACGCCAAGGAGGCCGAGTTCATGCGGTTACACCAGGGAGGGCTGCCTGTATCGGAGTATGCGATGAGATTCGAGCACCTGGCTCGTTTCAATTCGCAAGCTATATCTGAGGCCTAAAAATGCAGGAAATTTGTAGAGGGTCTGAAATTTGAGCTGAAGAGGGTGGTGGTGCCTATGGCCATCACCAAGTTTCCGGCCTTAGTGGAGAAGGCGAAGGTTGTGGAGAGATTAGAAAGTGGTAACCGTGTGACTAGAGATGCTGAGGGACCAGCTGGGTCCAAGAAGGGAGGAAATCAGAGGAAGCCATATGATAGGCCCCAACAACAGCAAGGGGGTTCTATCATTAGGAAACCTGCTGATGCTGCCAGAGGAGGGAGACAGGGTGGAGGTGCTGCCCTAAGATGCTACAGGTGTGGTGGGCCCCATTTGATCAGGGATTATCCCCACACAAAGAGCTGGTGTTTCAGGTGCCAGCAGATAGGCCATGAATCGTTCAACTGTCCCACCAAAAACAGACCGGAGAGGAGTGCTCAGAGGAGTGATGTGCAGAGAGGTGATGCCTAGAGGGGTGACAGACCCACTACTGCTGGTAGGGTATTTGCTTTGACAAGTGCTGAGGCTTCGACTTCTTTTGATCTTGTGAAGGGGAAGGGCAAAGCTGCTGGTAAGGATGTGACGTTCTTGTTTGATTTTGGAGCTTCTCACTCCTTTATCTCTTATGCTTGTGTTGCTATGCTGGGTGTGCATGTGTGTGATTTGGGGTTGAGACTGCTAGTATCGACGCCCGCTTCTGCTTTGGTAGTTACTTTTGAGTTGTGTGTTGGCTGCCCTATTGTTGTGAATGGGAAGAGGTACAAGGTGAACTTGATTTGTTTTCCTTTAGTTGATATTGCCATAATCTTAGGGATGGATTGGTTGTCTGCGAATCACATCCTTATAGATTGTGCCAATAGGCGGTTGATCTTTCCTCCGGTGGAGGATGAGTTGTTGATTTCAGCTGGCCAAGCTGAATCATTACTGAGGGATGGAACAAAGTGTTGTCTTCTGCTTGCTGCTTTGAGTGTAGAGACCGAGAGGGTCATTGCTAAGATTGAGGTGGTGAGGGATTTTGCTGAGGTGTTCCCTGATGAGGTGCCTAGGTTGCCTCCAACTAGGGAGATGGAGTTCAGCATTGACTTGGTTCCAGGTGCCGGGCCAGTGTCGGTGGCTCCCTATAGGATGGCTCTTGCTGAGTTGGTTGAGTTGAAAGGTTAGTTGGAGGACCTGTTGGAGAAGCAGTTGGTGCGGCCAAGTGTTTCGCCGTGGGGTGCTCCTGTGTTGTTGGTGAAGAAGAAAAATGGAGGTAGTCGACTTTGTGTGGATTACCGGAAGTTGAACAAGTTGACCATTAAGAACAAATATCCACTTCCCCGAATAGATGACTTAATGGATCAACTGAGGGAAGCATCCGTTTTCTCGAAGATTGACTTGAGGTCAGGCTATCACCAGATTAGGGTGAAGGAGGGTGACATACCGAAGATTGCCTTCAGGACTAGGTATGGTCACTATGAGTATGTCGTGATGCCGTTTGGTGTGACCAACGCCCCAGCAGTGTTCATGGATTACATGAACAGGATCTTCTGACCTTTCTTGGATAAATTTATGGTGGTGTTCATTGATGACGTCCTGATTTATTCAAGGACCCCGGAGGAGCATGAAGAGCACTTAAAGTTGGTGCTGGAGATTTTGAAGGCAAAGCAACTGTACGCTAAGCTTTCA